TCTGTGCAGGCACAGCCAGGCCCGCACCCAGGGGGGCGCCCACGCGGTTAGCAGGTGCCCTGTGGGGACCCCCCTCCCCCGTGACCACAGTGGGTGCCCAGGAACTGGGGCCGCGGGAAGCTGATGCGTTACGCATAGCCAGGCAATCTGAAAAGCCGAGGACAAGCCCTCTGAAAGCGGGAGGCAGGGAGACGCCACAGCCCGGCCGGCGTGGGGACGGGCTGACTGACGCGCCGGGTCGGCGAGGCCACGGAGCTGCCGCCCAGGCCGGCCGGTGGGGAACCCGGTTTCCTGAGGTTTTCCTGTTACCCATCGAGTGGGAACTCGTCAGGGGCGACCTCACTCAGGGCCTGTTTGACTCCAGGCAAGCGGGAGAGCACTGAACGGCCTCGTGTGCACCCACTGGCCTGGGGGCGCCCACAGGACCCAGAGGCCTTTGCACGCGTTTCTAACTGAGAATGAAAGCCTCAATGCAGAAGGAGCTTTTCCTCTTAGCCCTGAACCCGGCGATAGAGCAACTCAGTTCTGGCCTCAGTGGGTGGCACTGGGCGGTGTGGCACTGGGTAGGGTGGCACTGGGCGGTGTGGCTCTCAGTGGGGTGGCACTGGGCGATGTGTCAAGGGCAGCATGGCACTCAGTGGTGTGGCTCTCAGTGGAGTGGCACTGGGCGATGTGGCTCTGGGCAGTGTGGCACTGGGCAGTGTGGCTCTCAGTGGGGTGGCTCTCAGTGGGGTGGCACTGGGCACTGTGGCACTGGGCGGTGTGGCAGTGGGCGGTGTGGCTCTCAGTGGGGTGGCTCTCAGTGGGGTGGCACTGGGTGGTTGAGTGCTATCCATGAACCAGGAGGTCACGGTTCGATTCCCAGTCAGGGCACAGGCCTGGGTTGAGGGTTCGATCCCCAGTGTGGGGCGTGCAGGAGGCAGCCGAACAATGAGTCTATCATCATTGATGTTTCTGTCTCTCTCTCCTCTCCCTTCCTCCCTGAAATCCATAAAAATATGTTTTTAAAAAAAGACCCACTTCAAGTGAAGTGATAAAGTGACAGTGACTGATTGCTACCACCCGAGATGACAGACTGAAGCTGCCTGGCACTCCCATGACCCTCCAGGAACACGCATGACACACACCCCTCCACAGCCGCCACGGAGCCTCGCCACGGGGACCGGGCTGCTCGCCGGGTGGCCCCCTGTCCCGTGACCCCCGCAGCCAGCACCAGAGGAGGGGTGGGGGGTGCCATGCCCCACGCCCCTCGGTCCCCACGGAGGCCCAGCCCCCCAGGTGGACCCCGCAGAGACAGACACGGAGCCGGCACCAAACGTGTGACCGCGTGGCTGCCTCCCGCCCCAGGGCACCAGCGACCCTTCCCGTCAGTACAGATGGGACCGCGGCCCGGGCTGCGGCTTTGCCTCCTCCGAGGGCACGGCGCTCAGAGCAGAACGTACAGACGAACCCTCCAAACAAGGCGTTTCCGAGACCGACCTCAGTCCAGCTCCTAACGGTAGCCGCGCCTGCAGACCGGTGTCTGACCACTGCGTCAGTGCGGCCGCCGGCCCCGGCCTTGGGCGAGGGCCTCCACCCCGCCCTGCTCAGCCCCCCACCGGCTCCGGGGAGACGGTGCCCGCGGGCGGGGCGGCTGGCACTGTGGCTGTCACCACCGTCAGGAGTCTTCGTGATCAAGAGAAGATGGCTGGGTGGAAATCACCTTCACCAGCCACAGGCACAGCCTGGAACGCGTCTCCCCCGCGGGTTCCTGGACCAGACGTCACACCCGAGCTGCAGGGACCTCGCAGCCCTCTGCACGTGAAGCAGGCTTGCCCTCCGCCTCATAAGGTCCGTTCCGATGGGCTGCCGTGCGCTCTCAGGCCAGAGAACGGCCCGCCACTGCGGGATCTCAGCACGAAGCCGGTGGCTGGCGCAAAGGCCCGTCCGTCGGATGATCGAACTGTAACCCCCGAGTTAAAAGCCGGCTGGCCCAGAAACGAGAGCGGCAGGATGCGGCATGTCCCGGAGTCCCCCCCACCCAGCCTGTGACCAGCTCCCTCCACCCCGGGCAGAGTCAGCCCAGAACGGCGGTGTTTGTTTTGTTAACCTTCTCCGTTTTTAATTGGGTCACTCAGTGTTCCAGATGTAGCCGACTCCTGGCTAGACAGGTGACGGACGGCTCATGACATCAGAGTGGCTGTCTGAACCCCACAGCCCGGGGACACCCCCACCCTCCGCCGCGGGGTCACTCTCCTCGCCCTCTGCCCAGCCAAACATCCTCCCCCCGGCACCGAGCTGAGGCACACACCCAGCCCCTCACGGAGCACCTGCCAGTCAGCGGGACTGCAGGGCAGACACACGGACCGAGCCAGAGGCTTTAATTAGGTCCAAAAATGTAAGGTATAAGCCCGGCCGGCATGGCCCAGTGGGTGAGCGGTGACCTATGACCCAGGAGGTCACAGTTCGATTCCTGGTCAGGGCACAGGCCCAGGCTGCAGGCTCCATCCCCAGAGGGGGATGTGCAGGAAGTAGCCGACCAATGATTCTCTCTCATCATCAATATAATAATATATATATATATATATATATATATATATATATACACACACACACACACACATATATCTATATATATCCCTCTCCCTTCCTCTCTGAAATCAATAAGAAAGTTTACTTAAAAAAAATAACACCAAAAAACTACTGGACTTGGCCATGCCAGGCCATTCTGCAAGAATTACCCAGAATCCCCAGCAGCATAAGGAAGGTACATGTGGTCTTGCTCATCATGGAGGTGACATCGTTTGGGCCTCCTGGCCCCCATGACGGACCTCCGCACCACCGCCGAGGCGACCGTGAGGCAGCCCCGTGCCCCAGGCACAGAGCAGCCCACCTGCCGGTGGATGGAAGGATGGAGAAAAGGCAGTGTGTGAAAATGAGTATGTGTGTGTGTATGTGAGTGTGAGGGTGTGTGTGTGTGTGTGAGTGTGTGTGTGTGTGAGTGTGTGTGTGTGTGTGTGTGAGTGTGTGAGTGTGTGTGAGTGTGAGTGTGTGAGTATGAGTGTGTGTGTGTGTGTGTGTGTGTGAGTGTGTGAGTGTGTGTGTGTGTGTGTGAGTGTGTGAGTGTGTGTGTGAGTGTGTGTGTGTGTGAGTGTGTGTGTGTGAGTGAGTGTGAGTGTGTGAGTGTGTGTGTGTGTGTGTGAGTGTGTGTGTGTGTGTGTGTGTGAGTGTGAGTGTGTGAGTGTGTGTGTGAGTGTGAGTGTGTGAGTATGAGTGTGTGTATGAGTGTGTGTGTGTGTGAGTGTGTGTGTGTGAGTGAGTGTGAGTGTGTGAGTGTGTGTGTGAGTGTGTGTGTATGAGTGAGTGTGTGTGTGTGTGAAAACGAGTGACATTGGCCAAAGGGTACACTTCCGGTGAGAAGAGGACTAAGCCCTGGGGTGGATGCGTCGATGTGACTAGTGAACCGCATGTGTTCAGTGTATATGTGACCGCTGCTACACAGGAGTTCTCACCACACACACAGATACACACACACACACAAACATACACACATACATGCACACACACAGGCGATGGGTGTGCTAACCAACCTCACTGTGACAAGCATTCCACAACATAAACGTTTAAGCGAATCCTTTTGCAGATTTTAAACTTACTGTGTCCGTGACCTCCCCATAAAGCTGGGAAAAATTGTTAACTTTCTCTTTAAAAAAAGTAGCGTCATCAGAAAGAAGCATTTCCCTCTGTGAACTGAGGGCAGACAGCAGGGGAAGCTGAGGCAGGGCCTGGGATGGCTCTAGCAGGGGACCAGCCAGGAGGCGGTGGCCGGGACCGAGGACAGACGGCCACAGGATGCTCTGAGCACGGGATGACACGTGAGAGCCATGCCAGGGCGGCCTCAGAGAGTCCACAAGCTCCCCCACCGGGCGAGTCCTCAGTGGGACCGGCCGGGGCGCCGCCCGGGAGACGCAGGGGGTGGGGGCTCTCCGGGCCCCCTGACGCCCCAGCTCCTTCTCTGCCCTCGTCACTCTCACACAGAGCGCTCAGGTGCATCCCATTCCGCAGGCGAGGGAGGAACCCAGGCCAGGGGGGGTTCTGTGACCTGCTGGAGGCGGGGGGGCCTGAGCCAGACCCCGCCTGTCTGCCCGGAGCCCGGGGTCCGTGCCCCCGTCTTCCAGCCCGGCCCCTGCAGCTCAGCCTCCAGCTTCAGGGAGCCCCGGGGTTACCGTCCCCCCTGAGCAGAGACCCTGAGCCCCCGCCGGGGACCCCAATACCGTGGGGCACAGGGACGCGGGGCGGGGCCCAGGCGGCTCCCCAGACCTGGCCTGGGAGCGCCCCCCCCCCCCCCCGGGGAAGGGCGCAGCGGGGAGTGTGTCACCCCAGTGTTTACCCGAAGATAGCCATTAAGTCACCGGGAAGACATCCCTCCGCAGACTAAACAAGACACTCCTTTTCCAGAAGCTGTCCGCAGAGAGGCTGCTTGTTTGGCGCCATCTTTCTATATTTACTGGTCCCCGCCCCCCCCCCCACCCCCACCCCACTAACCCCAGAGCACCCTCCTGCCACCCATGTCTATTTAAACAATCCGGTAATAGGATTTCCGCCCGCGCCACCCAAGCAAAACGGCCCTTCTCATCTTTCCACCCCCAGCCCTCACAGATGAGTAAAAGGCCAGCCTGGATGGCATCAGGCCTTGTGGTCCACTCTGACCCTCAGGCCTTTCTTCGGTCACCCCTGTGCCTGCCCGCGGCCATTCACTGTTTGTCTCTGATCCCGTGGGACCCCACGTGTTGGAGGGACCCGTGCTCGGTCTCACGCAGCCCGACGTGGTTCTGACAGGCACGTGAGCGGCCTCACCTGCTCTGCCCGCCAAGGAGGTTTCTGAGCGAGGCAGTGCCCCTCTCCCGAGTGCCCGGCCGCAGCCCCGCCTGCAGAGGCGGCAGCCACATCGGAGCGATGCCAGCGGAACCCGAGGGTTCCAGGACCCTGTGCCCGGTGCCGGCCCCGAGGGGCCCACTTACTTCGAGGTTCCCGGGGCCCGTCCACGGTGATCTTGATGGCTCGGTGGTACGTGGCGACCTGCGGCGGGTTCGTGAAGACGGTGATGGTCAGCGTGAAGCTCTTCCCTGCGGACAGAGGAGAGGAATGAGCGGCAGCCGGCTCGCACCTGCAGCCAAACTGCCCGCGCACGTGGCCCGCCCGGGCTCAGCACGTCATGACTGTGACCTGTGGGCTTCTCCCTCTGCCTGGAGTGTGGCTGTAAGTTCTGAGACACTCACCTGTAGCAACAATGTAACACTTCACACCGATACAGCACAGACACCGGAACACTCACACAGACATAGACACTGTAACACTCACACAGACACAGTGCAGACACTGTAACACTCACACAGACACTGTAACACTCACACAGACACTGTAACACTCACACAGACACTGTAACACTCACAGACACAGACACTGTAACACTCACACAGACACAGACACTGTAACACTCACACAGACCCTGTAACACTCACACAGACACCGTAACACTCACACAGACACAGACACTGAAACACTCACACAGACCCTGTAACACTCACACAGACCCTGTAACACTCACACAGACCCTGTAACACTCACACAGACACCGTAACACTCACACAGACACAGACACTGAAACACTCACACAGACCCTGTAACACTCACACAGACACCGTAAGACTCACACAGACATTGTAACACTCACACAGACACAAACCCTGTAACACTCACACAGACCCTGTAACACTCACACAGACACCGTAAAACTCACACAGACCCAGTAACACTCACACAGACACTGTAACACTCACACAGACACAAACCCTGTAACACTCACACAGACCCTGTAACACTCACACAGACCCTGTAACACTCACACAAATACTGTAACACTCACACAGACCCTGTAACACTCACACAGACACCGTAACACTCACACAGACACAGCGCAGATGCTGTAACACTTCACAGACACAGACACTGTAACTCTTCACACAGACAAAGCGCTTCCCTTTCCTCACACAGGATCAAGAGGGATTGGAGGGTTTGTTTTCTTTCCACTGGAGACCCCAGGGGATGTGGGATGGGACGGGCAGCTACCCACTCCGTCCCCACCCCTGCCTCCCCTTTTTATAAACCCAGGGCAAAGGCGTGGAAAACACCCCCAATCCGTCTCCACCTTGAGGGCTGCCTGTACCGCCAGGATTCAGGGAGATGGAATCCCTAGGACTGAGGCCAGGCTGAAGGAAAAGACCCTCCGTGTTTCACAAATGCTAAATGCCGGCTGGTTTTCAGTCGGGTGTGTATACGCTGGATGTTGTGAGAGGCACTCGTGGAACTGGCCGGGCAGAATGTGCAGTCAACCCTGGGGCCTCAGGGAGTGCAGCGACAGACGGAGACTCAGCAGGCTCCATGTCTGTGCCCGTGACTTCCCTCCGGACATATCACGTGCCCGCGGGCCTCAGTGCCCTCGCCTGGAGGATGGGCACAGGTCCCTGGTGGAATGGGGGAGGGCACATTAGTTACTACCAGCAAAACCGCCGCGCCTGTGTGTGCGTGTGCTGTGACACGCCTTGTTCTCCGTGTCCCGCACCAGGATGCGAAGGTGTGCCGAGGCCTGCTGTCCAGACCGCCTGAACATCCACGTAAGAGTTTCCCCTTCATCGTGTGGCGTGAAGCGAAACCGAAAGAAAGGAAAACAAAGCACGCCCCCTATCCCTCACCTGCTCCCCAAACCTTCAGAACCAGCCTGCCCTCCTCCCCACGAGAAGGAGCAGACACCCCACTGCTCTGCCGCTGGACAGACAGGCCCAGAGCAGCTCCGTGAGCGTGCCACTGGCCACAGCCACCAGTGACGCCGATCATGCAAACCCCGCCCAGCGCGGCTCTGTGCTCGTCTATCGGAAGCCCGTGATGGCCACGGCCAGGGCCGGCCCGTCTGGCAGGCGGGGCGCGCGGTCACGGAGGGCCAGGGCCCCGGAGGCACCCAGAGGCCCCCACCCCCGCTCCCCCCACCAGCCGCCTCCCCTCTGGGCCTGGGGGAGCACCTGTGGGCTGCAGGCACTGGGACCCCCTGCCCACATCCCCAGGCGGCACCCAGATCGGTTTCTACCCCCACGGGGCCGCCGTGGAGGGACGGGCAGAGGGGCAGGCCCGGCCCAGTGAGAGGGCTGCCCATGGGGAGGCGCAGGCCCACAGCGGCTGCCATCTCGCTGCTGCGGATGTGAAGGCAGCTGCTGCCCCGGGCGCGGCCCTGTCCACGTGGCCTCTGAGCATCTCGGCCAGTCTGCCCCCCTCCGTCCACCACCGCCAGAGGTACCGCCTCCGTCCACCCTCCGTCCGCCCTCTGTCCCCCCTCGGTCCCCCTCCGTCCGCCCTCCGTCCGCCCTCCGTCCCCCTCCATCCACCCTCCATCCCCCCTCCGTCCCCCCTCCGTCCGCCCTCCGTCCCCCTCCATCCACCCTCCGTCCCCCTCCGTCCCCCTCCGTCCCCCTCCGTCCGCCCTCCGTCCCGCCTCCGTCCCCCTCCGTCCCCCTCCATCCACCCTCCGTCCCGCTCCATCCACCCTCCGTCCGCACTTCGTCCCCCCTCGGTCCGCCCTCCGTCCGCCCTCCATCCCCCTCCGTCCCCCCTCCGTCCCCCCTCGGTCCGCCCTCCGTCCCCCTCCGTCCGCCCTCCGTCCGCCCTCCATCGCCCTCCGTCCGCCCTCCATCCCCCTCCATCCGCCCTCCGTCCCCCCTCCGTCCGCCCTCCGTCCCCCCTCCGTCCGCCCTCCGTCCCCCTCCGTCCCCCTCCGTCCCCCCTCCGTCCCCCCTCCGTCCCCCTCCGTCCCCCCTCCGTCCCCCCTCCGTCCCCCTCCGTCCCCCTCCGTCCCCCTCCGTCCGTCCTCCGTCCGCCCTCCGTCCACTCTCCATCCGTCCTCCGTCCGCCCTCCGTCCCCCCTCCGTCCCCCCTCCGTCCCCCTCCGTCCGCCCTCTGTCCCCCTCCGTCCCCCTCCGTCCCCCCTCCGTCCACCCTCCGTCCCCCCTCCGTCCCCTTCCGTCCCCCCTCCGTCCCCCTCCGTCCGCCCTCCGTCCGCCCTCCGTCCCCCTCCGTCCGCCCTCCGTCCCCCTCCGTCCCCCTCCGTCCGTCCTCCGTCCGCCCTCCGTCCGCCCTCCGTCCACTCTCCGTCCCCCTCCGTCCGTCCTCCGTCCCCCTCCGTCCGCCCTCCGTCCGTCCTCCGTCCGCCCTCCGTCTGCCCTCCGTCCCCCTCCGCCCCCCTCCGTCCGCCCTCCGTCCCCCTCCGTCCCCCCTCCGTCTGCCCTCCGTCCCCCTCCGTCCCCCTCCGTCCGCCCTCCGTCCCCCCTCCGTCCGTCCTCCGTCCCCCCTCCGTCCGCCCTCCGTCTGCCCTCCGTCCCCCTCCGCCCCCCTCCATCCGCCCTCCGTCCCCCTCCGTCCACCGCAGCCAGAGGCACCGCCTCCAGGGTCCGGACTGGAGCCCACAGCCCCTCTTCTTGCCGCCACGCTCCCCGCAGCCGGAAGCCCTCCCCCGCGCCCTCTCAGAGCCACGGCGCTGTTTCTGCTTCCGCCTCCCTTCCTCCGCCACCTCCGGCCAGGCCCCCTGCGGCTGCCGGCCTCAAAGTCCGTGAGGATGCCGCCGTCTCCAGGCCCGCTGCCTGCACCAGCGGCTTGGACAGCTGGATGCAGCTCCGGTCTGAGGCCAGGCGTCCAGACCCAGTGCCGGCAGAGCCGTGCCCCCCGCCTGGCCTGGCCCGGCGTCTGATGGCGTTGGCAGCCCTGATGTGGCCTGGCCTCCAGAGAACGGACCCAGTCTCTACCTCCATCACCCGTGGCCTCCTCCGTGGCCTCCTCCGTGGCCTCATCCCGTGTCTCTTCCCATGGCCCCTCCCCAAGCCTCCCTCCTCAGGAGGACACGGTGGCTGGGCACCGGCCGCCCAGACCTGCAGGCCCCTCCTCCGCTGATCCCGCCGGCGCACCCTGTGTAAAAGGGCCCGTTGGGGGGTCCCGGGATGGGCATTTTCAGGGAACAGCGCAAACCCCGTGCTCGGATCCTGGGCCTGGCCCTGCAGGGCGGCTGCTCTCAGGCCCCTCACCCCCAAGGCTCCGAGTGTAGCCACCCGGCTCTCCATGTCCTACAGCCGTGGTCGGCACACGGCGGCTCGCGAGCCACGTGCGGCTCTTTGGCCCCTTGAGTGTGGCTCTTCCACAAAACACCACGGCCTGGGCGAGTCTGTGTTGAAGAAGTGGCGTTAGAAGAGGTTTACGTTTAAAACGTGGCTCTCCAGAGAAATGTCCATCGTTGTGCTGCTGACATTAGGCTCTGTGGACGGATGAGTTTGCCGACCGCTGGCCTAAAGTACAATGAAGAATCATCCTCTCATCCTATTGGCGCTGTGGGGTCTGCGTGGACGCACTTTCTGCACACTCTCCCACGTGCGATGACACTCATGAAATAAACAAGGCAGAATTCAGCGTTGTCCCCGCTGGGCTCAGAGAGGGTAAGTCACTGGCTCCCGGTCACACAGCCGTCTCCACAGCAGAGCCCGCCCCCCGCCGATGCTCAGGGCCCTCCATGTGACTGCCACAGGGCCCAAGCCTCCACCCGCACTCAGAGGCACCAGCACCGGGATCTGACCCCCTCCATCCTGCCACAGCTGGGGCTCTCCCTGCGACCCCGATGCACCCAACGGCTCCCCACAGGAACCGCAGGCCCGGATTCCCGTTCTGAAGCGCGTCCTCCGGAGCCGGGCGGCCACCGGCTGCCGAGCCACAGGGACGCTCCGGTGGCCACAGCCTGGCCGGCCTCACGGCGCATGCGTGGAATTCACCCGCCACGGGCCTCTGACCTCCTCCCTCATGGCTAAAGCTCATTACCGGCGCCCGACGTTATAGGTGCCTTCTGCTCAGCAGAAGGGACTGGGCGGGCGCCTGGGCCTGGGACAGGGTCCGAGAGGGGGTGCTGTCCCGGGCATCCCTCCCGGGGGTCCCCCTGCGGACAGCTCGGCCGGGACGCCCTCCTGGGCCTCCCAGACAGAGGTGCGGGCTGGCGACATCGGGGTCCCAGGTGGTGACCCTGTCCCACTTCGGGGGCCTGCCC